AAAATACATTAGAATCCGCTCTCTCTCTCTCTCTCTCTCTCTCTCTCTCTGTCCCTCTCGCTCTCTCTCTTTTTTTCACCACTCTCTTTCACTTGTCTATTGAAAACTTAAGTTCTATTGAAAACTTAGCTTGAAGTACAAGCAAAAACCTAAAGCAGATATTCAAAGTTATTCAGAGTTCTTAGAGAGAGCCAGTTCAACTAGCTCAGCATGGTGCAGCTGTAGCAAGCAGCTAAGCAAATGACACCCAAACTCAACTCAAGTCAACCTATAGTTAATTATCTAAAGATGGAAAGAGCTGAACATGGATGAGCTACAGGAAAAACAAAAAAAAAAAAAGAAAAAAAAATGTTGTTAAATGCATTTCGTGTGCGCAACTTTGTCACAGATTAGATAAGTAGTGCGAGAGTGTGTGTGTGTGTGTTTGTGTGTTGGTGTGTGCGTAGTTGAAACACACTCATTAGCAGCACACGCGCATTGGCTGACACTTAACGTTGAGAGCCAGCCAAAAGCACTGCAAATAGATGCCATGCCTTAAAGCTGCTGTGGATGCAACCAAATCGTGTGGCACAAGAAGTTGTTGTTGCTGCTGTTGCTGTTGCTGTTGCTGTTAATGTTGCTTTTGCTGTTGCTGTTGTTGCAGCTGAAAACAATTCGTGGCCTGGCATTAAATGAGTTTTGGTTTGCAGTAGCTGTCAGCCTTTAAATCTGCTGCTGCTGTTGCTGTTGCTGTTGCTGCTGTTGCAGTCTGCTCCAGTTTCCATTTCGTTTTTGTTTTCCACATTTTTTTTTGCTTTTCTGGCGCCAGGGGCGCTTAACAGAGTGAAAGAGGTGGGGGCGTGGCATGACTGCAGGTTGCCTCGACGTAAAATTTAATTAAGCTGCTTTTAGCTGCAGTTGCAAGGCGACGTCTTAAGCTGCACAGATGCGCACAGACAGAGACTCAGAGAAAGAGAGAGAGAGGTAGAGAGGGAGATGGAGATGTGGAGGTAGGGCGAGCAGGGCCAGGCAGGCACATGTACTCACTAAACGAGTGTGCGTGTGCAAGTGCGTGCGTGTGTGTGTGTGTGTGTGTGTGGCAAATATTTTTGCAACCACAGCCACTTGACTCCTGGAGTGCGGCACTTTCTTTTCTCTCTTGGCATCCTTTGGCAGCAGCAACAGCAACAGCAGCAGCAGCTTGCCACCTGTGCAGCTGTCATGCATCGCCCCACCTGGGCCGCTCCACCTCACCTGGCCTCGGCTCGGTTGTGTGTTTTAAATGCTTAATGCCCCACCCTCTGGCACGCCCGCAAATTAGCCTCAATTTTACGTTTTTGTGATTTTCTGCGTGGTTTTTCTTAACATTTTCCATTTCATTTTCATTTGCTTTGCTGCTTTTACTGCTTTTACTGCTCTTGCTGCTCCTGCTGCTGCTGCTGCTGCTGCTGCTGCTCTTTTGCCGCCTTCAAATTCTCAACAAGTTTGGGCAACACTTGGTTTCTTCTTTCTCCACTTCATCGTCCTCTTCTTCTTCTACGGCCTCTTGCGTTTGCTCTTAAATTGATTGCTTTAAAGATTTTTGTTTTTTGTACTGCGAGCAACCAAAATGATTTCGATTCCCAAGAATCTCTCACAGTAATGGCCGGAAATATGGCCAAGAGAATAGGCGAGAAATCTTTATGCTTTATATAGGAGTGAATAATATAGTAGAACTTATAATTTGAGATATATGCATATGATATAAAATATATATAGTATATTATGAGTAGTTATATGTATATGATATACTTAAATGTTATAGTATATCATATACACATAGCTCATAATATGAGCTTTACTATATTATCCAAGCTTATATAAAACATATATATCTCATATATGTACATCTCACTCCATTCTCGCTTCTTAGTCTTTTACTCCAATCTCTTACATCTTCTCTTTCTTCCAATTTAGTTCTCTTTCCTTCTTAATTTTATCTTTTCTCTCAGTCTATGTATGCCAGTCTTTCTCATCCTTTGCCTCGTTTTCTCCCAATTTCCCCAATTTTCATCTCCCAATCCGTATATCTATACTAATGTTCGGATACTCTCTCTCTCTCTCTTTCCTCTTCTCTCTCTCTCTCTTTCCTCTTCTCTCTCTCTCTCTCTCTTTCCTCTTCTCTCTCTCTCTCTCTCTCTCTCTCTCTCTCTCTCTCATGTCTATCTTTCTTTATTCGTTTATACAAATATATAATCTCTCTCTCTTTCCCTCTCACTCTATAATCATGCATATCGCTTTGTCTATTTATCTCCATTTATCTACCTATGCACATATCTCTTATATATACATATATACATACATATCTATGCCTCTCTCACCTCACCTATTTCTACATACTTATTGCATCCTCTTCTCTTTATTGCATTTTCTTTGATATCTTTTGAGTTCCATCTCCCATATCAGTTAATAGTTTCTTCAATTACTTTTCGCATGAAATTCAAATGGGTTTTCCATGATGTTTTCCCCTTAAACCGCCAACATTAAAAATATTTATGTATCGTCTCTTCCGTTCGCTGCCTCTCTTTCTAGCCAACTCTCTCTCTCTCTCTCTCTCTCTCTCTCACTTATTTTGTTTGCTCTAATTCATTTTATGGTGCAACACGCAATTGATTTTCTATTTAAATTTCTATACTTTGGTTTTTGTTTCTATTTACATTTGTCATCCAAATAAGAAAATACCCAAAAATCTTTAGCATATTTTAGATTTGGTTTATCCACGAGTGTGTCCGTGTATGTGAATGTGTGTGTGTGTGTGTTGTCTCATTTGTATGTATGGCAATCGAATCTTGTCAATTGGCATGCGGCATGCTGCTTGCAATCACGATTCACATATGATAATTTCTTAACTGGGAAATTGTCTTCAATTTTCAATTTCCTTTGTGGCAAAATATCGAAAATATCCATGTTTTTCCATCTTATTGTTTCAAATTACAAAAGTGTTGATTAAATGCACTTTACGCTCCACATTTTTTTTTTTTTTTTTTTTTTTTTTTTTTTTTTTGTTTTTTTGTAAATAACTCAAGCAATTTGTCTTTCCATCAATATTTATGATACAAATGCAAAAAGCCGAAGAAGAAGAAGAAGCAAAAGTTGTTATTTAATTAAATGTGAAAATCAAAGATAAATAAAAAGACAAAAACGGTTCAGAAATTGCAAATGTGAAGACGAAGATAAAATGCATAATAAATGTAATTAAAATTTGATTTTAGCTAGAGAAATTTTGCTTATTTTATTTTTCATGTATATTACGCATAAATACTAGAGGAAACAGCTACATATTGAAGTGAAGAAGTAGAAGAAGAGGAGAAGGAAGAAGAGTGATAAGCATGAAGATGCCGTGCAAAATGTCGGCCAGCTTCAGTTTAGTTCAGTTCAGTTCAGCAGAGGCGCAAAATCAACAACAATAACGAAACAGCGAAAAATCAGTCAAGTGTTTTCCTAGCTCTGTCTGTGTGTGTGTGTGTGTATGCATGTGTATGTGTATGTGTGTGTAACAGTTGTGCTGATTCACAGACACAGAGCGAAGAGGTGCCAAATGGAAAAACTGGCCAAGTGAGCGACAAGGCGAGAGGGCGGACGAACGGGACGGTCGGAGTAGCTGTAGCTGGAAAATAAACGATGTTGTCTATGACAAGGCATGACGGTAATGACGCAGGCCATGGCAGCAGCAGAGGCAGCAGCAGCGGCAGCAGCAGCACTGGGGAGACTAGAGCAGAGCTACAGCAGCAGGAGTCTGTGTCTGTGTCTGTGTCTATACCTGTGGGCCAAGTGTTTCGGCCAAGTGCCTCAGCTCTGAGCTCTGGACGGCGCATTGGCAATGCTTCTTTTTACCTTCAATTTTCGTTTTAGCCGCATCATTGTCGCTGTTGCCTGTGCGCTGTGCACTGTTGTTGTTGTTGTTGTTGTTGTTGCGTGTTTTGTTTTTGGAATTTTTCAATTCAAGGTTTTGCCTGGGCCCAAGCGGTTTCGCACCCCTCGCCTCACCTCGCCTACCTGCCTTCACACCTCTGTAAAGGCGCGCACATTCCATGTCTCAGGCTCAGAACTTTGCCTCTTTTGCACAATCATTCAAGAGAGAGAGAGAGAGAGAAAACGAGACAGATAGGCAGAGAGTGAGAAAGGGAGCGAGCGAGAAATATGGGCTGTAAGACACTCAAATCGCGCTGACTGCTGCTATCAATGGCTGAGCCTTTTCCTTTGCCTTTTTCTGAGTCGACTGCTCTAATGCAAAAAGTCTTTAGGCTTTGAGAGAGATGCTGTAATCTCATGTAAATACAGTAATCACTCACTACAAACGACAAAGCAAACATAGATTAGCTAATTTTGATATGAATATGGATATGATTGTGAATGTGAAAATGAATACGAATATGAATATGAATATGAAAATTAATGTGAATGTGAATGTGAATATGAAAATGAATACGAATATGAATATGAATATGAAAATGAATGTGAATGTAAATATAAATATGAGTATGAAAATGAATGTGAATGTGAATATGAATATGAATGTGAATGAATGAATATGGATGAATATGAATAGAAGTGTGAATATAAAAATACATATTAATGTTACATATTTATTTTAATGTGAATATAAATGAGTATGAATATAAAGATAAAAACAGTTTTTTGTGTAAAAAGAGTTCACATGAATATATGAAGCTGAACTAATTAAAATTCATAAAATTGCCTTTTAAGTCTAAATCCTTGAATGTTATCAAACTGGGCGCATAAGATCTGATAAGATCAACAGCTTAGCCTATTCAGTGCTTTCATGCAAATAAAATTGAATACGAATTCAAACTGGACTTGGCTTGATTCACAAATTCTGCTCAAGCAAGTTAAGCTTTCTTAGCTTTTAATCAGGTTCGCCTCCATACAAAGTGTATTAGAAGCTGCGGTTTAGCCCTATAGCTAACTGCTCTTTCGGCTTGTTATTTTAGACGCTGATGCTGCCTGTCTGCACCAATGGTGTGTATGTATGTGTGTGTGTGTGTGTGTGTGTGTACTGCCTGGCATCATAAATCATCTCAAGTGGCTGATGCGGCTGCTGGTACTGCTGTTGTCTGCCTGCGCTAGCTATTTTGGTTTTGTATCTATAACTATAACAATTTGCAAGTGTATCTTACGGATACACACTCAGAGCGAGCGGGATAGAAAGAGATACTGGGAGAGAGCGGGAGGGGGAGAGAGAGAGAGCTGTCAGTCAGCGCTGCCAACACCTTGCTGCCAAGCGGCAGTCTTTTTGACATTTCTGTTGCACTAATTTGCAGCACTTGCAACACAGGATACAAAGCGGCACAGATACAGATACAGATACATTTGCAGATGCAGCAGAGATGCAGATACAGCTACAGCTACACATACAAATAAAGATGCAGCTACAATAGAGCTGGCTGAGCTCTAGCATTCAGGTAACAGGTAACTGAAGATGCCTCTGCTTGGCCGCTTGCATCCATCAGATACAGATACAGATACAATATCTTTTGCTGCTTTTCGCTGCTGTTGTTCAACAGCCAACAGCTGTGCGCCACATTTGCGGCGCTTGATAATCAAGTTAATGCCGATAATGATGTTCGCGCCGCTGAGGATTTGCGCATCAGGACAAAGCTGACGGCAAAAGGCAGCAAAAAAAAAGTCTTTGATTTTCAACGGGAGACCTTCGCTGAAATGTGGCAACGGCGCAAAGGAACCACCATGAGAAGAAGCAGCAGAAAAAAAATAAGTATACATATGTATGTATGTATAAAATAATAATA